ACTGTGTAAGAGTGATGGTGCACGCTGCTCTGTCCCTGGAGATCTGCAAGCCAAGGTAGCAGCGCAGCTCTCCTACGTTAGTGCAGGTGTGTCTCCTCAGCAGCTCGGCCTTCACGTAGGCCAGTGCGTCTCTGTCTGCAGTAGTGAAGTCCAGGTCGTCTACGTAGACAAGGATGTAGAACGGAGTCTGGCCAGCATGAACGAAGAGCGAAGGGTCTACAGCGGACGGAAAGAACTGCAGGTCAGTACGCGTAGCACGCAGCGTGTCGTGCCACTCACGGGTGCCTGTCGCAAGCCGTAGACTGGGCGCCGGAGGAGCCACTGGGTCCCAGGAGGGAAGGTACCGGTGAAGCCCTGAGGACGGCGCAGGTAGACCTGCTCGTGTAGGCTGCCCTGAAGAAAAGCAGTGGAGAAGTCGATGGAGTGAAGCTCGTAGTCACGACGACGGAGGAGGCGAAGGCAGGAGGGCCGGACGCGACACGTGGGAACGAAGCAACATGGGGTGGGAGCGCGGAACAGGAGAGACTGGACGAGTATGAGAGGGACGGCGAGACCAGACGTGAGACGGAGGCATCCGGTTAGGAGACAGAGGGGGAGAAACACGAGGTGAACATGGTGAAAAATGGGCCAGAGAGGAGTCTGGCGGAGGAAACACAGGACCATGGACAGGAAGAGGAGGAGGCAAAGGCGAGCAGTCGGGGGAGGGAAGGCCGAGCAGGTGAAGGGCGGACACCGTCGGCGATTGCTGCGGCTGCTGCTCGACGCCGACACCCAGACCACCAGCTGCACCACGGTCACCTCCAGAACACTCCCCTCCGGCACCCCCAGAACAAGCACCCCCCGAGCGAGAACCCTCTCCAACACTGGTGCCACCCCCGAGCCCGTCGGGACAAGCCACGACAGGAACCCCGGGACTAGCACCCTCCTCAACGCCAGCAACCCCAGACTCCACGAACGGCTGCGGCTGCTGGGACGGCGGCGGCGGGGGCGACAGTGGAGGAGGAGACTCCTGGGAAAGGACAGGTGGCGCAAATTGCGCCGCAGGGCCACCAGAGTGAGCCGACTCCTCGATTGGGGCAACCGACGGGAGGGGAGTGACGTGAGACACACCAGAGGGAGCACGACGGGGAGGGAGGCAGCAGGGGCGACGGGGGGAGTGGGAACCAGAAACAGGGGGGGTGAAACCGGGAGACCTCGGTGGGGAAAGCGGTGGTAAAAGGAGACAGACTCGTCAAAAGTGGCGTCACGGGAGTGATGGAAGCGGTGGGACTGCGGGTGGAAAAAGTGCCGGTCATACGAGTCAAGGGGAAAACCAAGGAAGACACAGGGGACAGTGCGGGCAGTGAGCTTGTCTGTGCCAAAGGCACGAACGTGAGTGAGGCAGCCCCAGACGTGAAACACAGACGCATCACTAGGGAACCCTGTCCAAAGAAGGGTCGGCGAAATCTGCGGCTGCTGGGAGCGCGGCCAAAGGTTAAGCTGGTGAGTGGCGTAGCGAACGGCGAACGGCCACAGAAAATGGGGTGCACCGGCATGAATCATGGAGGTACGAGCCACCTCCATGACCAAACCGATGCGTTGCTCAGCAACCCCATTCTGCTGCGGGGAGTCCGGTAGGGTGTACGTCTGGGTGATGCCCTCCGCACAACAGAACTGACCAAGCCAACCAGAGGCAAACTCGCCACCACGGTCGGAGTAAAGACACAACGCAGGGAGACGCGGTGGAGGCGTGCAGCTACGACCCACGGATAAGAACGTCAGGCACGTCGGCGTTCCGCTCCAGGGGAAACATCGTGGAGTAGCACGTGAAGTCATCGACGAGCACGAGAAAGTAGCGCTCACGACGCGGTCCAGGGACGGGGGCTGGGCCCCAGACGTCCAAGTAGAGGGTTTGGAGTGGTGCAGTGGCAGGATAAAGCGAGGAATGAGGGGCACGGCACAGCCGACCCTCGACGGAGGGCGTGCACGGCGGCGCAGGGGAGGGAGGGAGGGCAGGGAACGACGCACGGAGGCCTAGGATGAGACCGTGTTGAGACATGTGACGCAGACGCGGGAGCGCGGGGTGACCTAGGTGGTGGTGCCACAGAAGCGATGGGTGAGTGAGCGACCGACACGAGCAAGCCGCAGCAACCTGAGTAGACGCAAGACGCGGGGAGGACGCGCCCACCGGGGGGGAAGCAGTGTCCAGCATAAACAGGCCAGACACAGGGTCCCGGGGGAACGTCGCAAGGGGTGCACCTGAGGCGGTCTCAGTACAGACCGCGTACCGCTCGTGACCAGGGAACGTAGTGGTGACGCCGAGGTCCTAAAGACAGCCGACACCCGCTTAGTTTTCTTGAGAACAAAGGGATGTGTAGGCTGGTAAGGGAACCCGAGGGAACCGCCGGACAGGGAAGGGTGGTAGAACTCCGAGCAACAACAGGACCAGAGAAGGGGTCACCAAGGGAGACAGCGGCAGGCGCGGCAAGCGGCGTGAGGGTGGCGTGGTCGCGGAAGAAGCAGGCTGAGGCACCGGAGTTTGGAGTGAAGGACAATGAAGCCATAGTGGCCAACGAAGGAGGAGCAAGTGTAGAACATAGGCTAGACAAAGTAAGCGGTCCTACGCCTGACGCAGCAGGGGAGGCTGGACAACACAAAGGTGCTATGCCTAAGCTAGAGAACACAGAGTAATAAGATTCAGAAACACTCGAAGCATCAGCATACAGAGAATGCAAAGCAGAACTAATCTGATCCATGTATAGGTCAAACACAGGCACACCGTGGCGCAACAGGCTGGGCCAGTCAGGGAGGTCCGAGGCTGGACCAAAGCGGCGACGGAAGAGGTCGTCGAGGCGGCGGAAGCAGCGGGAGGTCCGGTGCGGGCGCCGGCACACCGTGCCACGGAGGGGCCCAGTCTGTAGCTGGTACTGGCAGCTCACTGAGTTGAAACCGCCTGTGGACACCGAGCTGCGAGGGCCACCACCACGATCACTACCTCCAGGGGCTCCTGATCACCCCAGCGGGAGGCGAGCCCACGGCTGCTGGTGCGGTGGCGACGACTGCTGTGGCGGCTGCTGCTGCTGCTGCTGCGGCTGCGGCTGCCACTGCTGCTGCTCCTGGACACCAGCTCCAACCCCCTCGTCAGAACCACAGTCCCCGCCACCACTACCACTACCGGCGCCACAACCACATCCTCTCTTGAGGCCACGGCGGCCCCCGGTGTTGGCGCTGCTGCGGGTAAGCCGCAGCTACTGTCTCAGTGGCAGGGGCAGTCGTGGCAACTGCGGCTGAGACGTCAGCGTACGTGCACTGGGACGGGGCACATCCCTTAAAGATAGGGACTGCCGCAACACCGCTCGACTGAGCGATAGTGCGCTGGCGAGTCTCTATCTCAGACAGCGCAGTGACAAAGGCGGTCAGGGTGAGGTCGGCAGGGTGCTGACTAAGGAAGTGGTCGCGGGCAGTGGCTAAGCGGTCAGGCAGGCGCATGGCAATGAGGTACAGGATAGCGCAGTACGGTGGGGGGAAGGCAGTAAGCTGGGCGGCAGTGCTAGCAGCTCGGTAGCTAGTCTCTAGCGCACGGAGGTGAGCGGCGATGTCAGCTACAGTGGGGAAAGCGGAAAGATCAGGGAAGAGCATGGGTAGGATCATGCGGCCAGCAGAGGCAGAAGTAGGTGTGGATTAACGCTCAACTACAGCATTGAATAAGTCCTTGGCGTTCGCGACAGTGGTGAAGCGCGAACGCTCAGACAGGGGCAGAGCATGACTAATGGCAAACTGCGCTACAGCGTCGCGAGAATCCCAGACAGCGCGAGCGAGCACAGCAGCAGCAAAGGCCTCGCTCTTAGCAGTAGTGGGGTCAGCAGGGAGGGGAGCAGGCGTAGGGGGCGGGGAAGCAAGCCATCTTCATGTATAGCCAGGGAGTGCCCATCCTGGCGCTGACCTGTCAGATGACGGCGGAGGTCGACGAGCCAGGCAACGAACTCGATCGCGTGCCCCTCATCGTCCAAGCGAAAAAGGGCATCCGCCATCGCACAGTGTGACACGGCGGCTCGGCGGCTCAGCAGCTCGGCAGCTCAGCGGCACGGCGGCTCTGCAACTCGGCGGCTTAGCGGCTCGGCGGTACGGCGGCTTAGGGTCACGGTGGCGCAGCGGCTCGGCTGCACAGTGGGACTGCGACTCGGCGGCTCAGCGGCTCGGCAGAAGGCGCGAGGGGCCAGTGGGGGCGCAAGGGGCCGGCTCGGGCGCATGGGGCTGACAAGGGCGTGAGAGCCCCGCTAAGGCGCGAGGGCCGGCTAGGGCGCAAGGGGCCGGTGGGGGCGCGAGGGGCCGACGACAGGGCGAGGGGCCCGATAGGGCGCAAGGGGCCGACTAGGGCGCGCGGGGTTCGCTAGGGCGCGAGGGGCCGGTAGGGGCGCGAGGGGCCGGCAGGGGCGCGAGAGACCAGGAGGGGCGCGAGGGGCCGACGACAGCGCGAGGGGCCCGCTAGGGCGCGAGGGGCCGACAACTGTTCGAGGGGCCCGCTAGGGCGCGAGGGGCCCACTAAACCGCGAGGGGCCCGCTAGGGCGCGAGGGGCCCTCTAAGGAGTGAGGGGCCCACTAAGGCGTGAGGGGCTGGCGTGGGCGCGCGGGGGGGGGGGGGGGGGGGGGGGGGGGGGGGGGGGGGTGGGGGGGGGGGGGGGGGGGGCTAGCGAGGGGCGGTAGGCTAGGGCACGGGGCGGAAGCAGGTGGGTGGGCCTACCTACTCATGATACCATGTCAACTAGAATGAATTATTAGAAACAAGGGAGAACAAGAGAGTTATAGTGTTGAAGTTATACCCTCTAACAACATACATCTATCTAGCCTATATCTTCTACATATCAACATATGTATGAGTTGACAAGACCTGCTCTGAAACCATGTTAAAATGAGCTAGCTAGGAATGGGTGTGCTTGCTGCTGCTGATATGAGTGATGTTTGAAAGGGGTCTGAGTGCTGGAATGGGTGTGAGTGCTGCTAGGATCGACAATGATGGGTTAATTTATGGAAAACATATATTGGCATAATACGTAGACATGGAAAGTGGCCTAAAACACTACAAATATGGTGCACCTACAACTCTTGAAACTCCTACTGTTGACAACAGGTTAGCGCCCGCATTACAAGCACACGAAATGGCTGAGTGCAGGAAGTCATCTCGCTCAATATGGCAGGCCCAGCTCAAGCCATGCCACTCCTAAAAGGCACTTCAGTTACAGTCACGAGTCGGTCCCAGCCGTTCACGCGAAGGTGAGCCACGAGTTGACCTCGGCGAAACTGCTGGCGGTGTACTGCGACGCGCTCGAGATGATCCCAGGATCGACCCAGCTCGCGCGGGACGATTTTGCGCCGGGGCCCTTGCTGCCCGACTCGGCGAGGAACATGCAGCTGCCCTCGTTCCACGACAACCACCCGTCGGGCTGAATGATCTGAAATATGGCGAAGTACGGCGAAAGATAGGCGAAAAAGAACAGGCAAATATTTTGAGTAAGCACCCGAGAGCCAGGAGGACCATCGAGCTGCCATGTTGCCACAGCATCAAACCCTCGGGGCTGATTCATGTACATGAGGGGCGGATGAGGAGGGGCGGGGGGACGAGAGTGAAACGAGCAAAGAGAACTGAAGGAAGTGGAATTTGGGAGCGGGTAGATTTGGCAACTCTTACCGCGGACAGCACGGTGCTGGCGAGGACGGTGAAGGAAAGGAACAAGCAACCAGCCGAACAGCAGAGCGTAGACACGAGGGAAGCACCAAGAGCACTTACCGCGGGCAGCACGGTGTTGACGAAGACGGTGAAGGCGCACTTCTTCCACGGCCGCCCGAGAAACGCCTTCGCCGCGCCACTATCGGCGCTCACCGCCGAGTCCGCGGATCACGATCCCCGTCGGCGTGTCCTTGGCGCGACCCGACGCCGTGAGGGTAATAAACGACTTGCTCGGATGCAGCTGAATCTTCGCGTTTTCTATCACCACCGCCGCGTCGCCGAAAATGAAGTCCTGCGTGCCGCCGATGTAGCAGTTCGTGTAGTACTGCCGACCCGCGTCCACGTATAGTGTATCTTGCGCACCCTCGAACGAGCAGTCGATCGCCGCCGACTGGTCGCCAGAAGCGCGGAACGCTACAGCCTGGTGGTTGTCGGGGCCGGCCGTATTCACAAATTTCATCCCGAACACGACAAACCGGTCACTGTTCACTCCGACTGTAGCGGAATCGAACGTGCTCGACCCGCTGCCGTAGCTCTCGTCGTACGTGACGACAGTAGAGCCCGCCCCCGCCCCGATAAGGATAATGTCGGGGGTGTCAATGACAACCTGCTCCTTGTACGTGCCGGCGGGGACGTAGATCACGTAGCGGCCACCGCCGGGTGCGGCGTCGATCGCGTCTTGAATCGAGCCCTTCACCACGGCATCGGCCCTGAGGCCCTTACTGAAAACAATGGCTCCCGAAGAGGTTTTCCCGCTGCTCCCCTTGCTGCCCTTAGACTTGCCGCTCTTGCTCTTGTTCTTGTTCTTGCTCTTGCTCTTGCTGCTGCTGCCGCTGCCGCTATTGCTGCCGCCGCTGTTGCTGCTACCGCTATCCTTGTTCTTCTTGTTCTTGCTCTTGCTCTTGCTGCTGCCGCTGTTGCTGCTACCGCTGCCCTTCTTATTCTTCTTGCTCTTGCTCTTGCTGCTGCCGCTGCCCTTCTTATTCTTCTTGCTCTTGCTGCCGCCGCTGCCGCTGCCGCTGCCACTGCTGCCGCTACTGCTGTTCTTGTTTTTCTTGCCCTTCTTGTTCTTGCTCTTGCTTTTCTTGCTCTTGCTCTTGCTGACGCTGCCGCTGCTATTGCCGCTGCTGCTGCTACCGCTGTTATTGCTCTTCTTAGCCTTCTTGTTCTTGTGGTTCAGCTGTCGCCGTGCGACGTAATCGTGAACGCCATCGCCCAAGGCATTCAGCTCCGCCTGCAACTGTCGCAGCTGCGCTACGAAGTCGTCGTCCAGCCACTTTGCGCCGCCTTCGCCGGCTGTGGACTCAGACGACGCGAGCATGCGACCATTGTTCGTCGCAGGAGCCGTCGCAGCCTTCTTCGCGATCGCGACGACGGCTTCCAGGGTGTCGCTCGCTTTGTTGGCAACAGCCTGCGATTGCGAGGGGCGGAAAGGAAAGCACGTTAGCAAAGTTACGAGTTACTGATGCGTGTCAGCCCAACGCATGCATAAGGCATAGAAGGTGGGCTGGCTCAATAATGTTAAATTCGAAGTAGGTTGTTCATCTTATGGTCAGAATGAGATTAGAGATTAATTGCGATGCGAGGAGATGCCCAAAGGCCGTGAGAGGCGGTGGGTGAGAGTATCTCTCGAGTGAGAGAGGCTTACCTCGAGATGCACGAAGGCGGGTTGGAATGTGGCGGAGGGAGCGAGGGGGATAGCTAAACAACAAGCGAGAGGGAGCGGGGAGGAAGGGGAGAGGGGAGGGGAAGGGTGGGGTGGGGGAGGGAAAAGGGGGGAGGAAGGCGCCGTGGGGGGGCTTACCTCGAGATGCACGAAGGCGGGTTGGAATGTGGCGGAGGGCGCGAGCGACTTGAAGCCGTCGACGCAGTTGTCGACTTGCGTGCTCGCAGCGGACAGCCAGAACGCGCGGTCGTGCTGTCCAGTCTCGTCGTTGATCGCGTCGATCGTACGGTCCAGGTACCGTAGCGCGATGCCGCCCTGCGTACCGCAATCGTCCGCGACCACATTAATAAAGTGGTTCTGACGGACGTTGGCGCGCTTAATCTCCGCAGCGGCGGCGATGATCGCGTGGACCTGGAGCGCCACGGCGGAAACCATCGCCGCGGTGACTTTGTCGGTCGCTTGCGGGAGCACGCTGAGCTGGCGGCGCGCTGCGCGGAACTCCTGGGAGCAGAGAGTCGCGTTCGAGACGCCGTCGCATAGCGCAGGGTGCGAGATGACGAGGTAGTTGTCGGCCATGTAGCAGCAGGAGACGATGGCGAGCGCCACGCCGATGCCCGCTAGGGCCAGCGTGGCGGCGCGTTTTATGCACATGTTGGACGAAAGAAAAGTTCCGCGACGCGACGGGTGAAGGCCGGGAGGTGACATGGGCAGAGCGTCCGTGAATAATGCGACACTGGACTGGCTGGCTAGTGTACGGGTGGTGTCGAGGGATCAGAAACCGACTTCAGGAATGAGTTTGTAGTGACATCGTTCTAGGACCTAATTTATGCTGGCCTGCTGTTCGCCTGGTCTGGTGTGGTGATTTCGCGGTTCGGAATGTGGCGTGGAGAGGAGATGTCTGGAATTCTGAAATTGCCAAGGGTGTGGCATTTCGGCGACGACGAAGCGCTTCCTCTACCCATTCGCCAAAACTTCAGTATGTGGCGGCGGCGATGAGTGACTACGGAGAGAGTCAAGGGGTGAAGGTGATCTGTGAATGGCCAGCTTCCCCCCTGTATAATACTCTCATAACACAGCTGGCGAAATCTATCCGAGGGGAAGGGGCCCAGGAAGCATCCCCTGGTGATCGCAATGTTTTCGCAAATCGTCGTTATCCAACCATCTTGCCTCACCTTCCCCAGCAGCACCCTTTCACGACCTCGACATTCGCTGGCGTCGCACTCGATTTAGCAGATTCTGCCCTGGGAACTGATGGTTTCTCGTCTGGGCCGTTGGGGCGACATAGAAACGATAGTTCTACAAACGGAAAGGACATCACTTTCAGCCCGAGAAATGCATCGCCCTGACCGATTCTTATAAGGTCGACCGCTATTCGTTGTTATGCTTCTACTTTCCATGTGATATATTTCTCCGTACCTCTCCATATGCGTCTGTGGCTACTCGTATTGCATGTAGTACTTCTCAAACATGGCTTCAGAAATCAGGAAAAAAATACCCTGAAATGCTGTATATCAGGGTGTTTTTTTAAGGTTCGTCCTGTTTTTTCAGCTTTTGACTTTTCATAGGCCTGAATTTTAGGGGTTCTCATTTGAGCAAGCCTGAAATATTATATGTTCTTGTTTTGGTCACCCTGAATGATCAGCCTTAACGGATTTCCAGCCTGAAACAGCATCCTATCTGACTAGTCGAGGCGAGCTGGAGCTGCTGTGAGGGGCGTCACTTGTCATTCGCCAAAATGACGCAAGTGACGCAAGCTGGAGCAGGTGTGAGGAGCGTGATTGGCCCTTCGCCAAAATCATGCAGGCAGTTTGACGCGAGCTGGAGCAGGTGTGAGGGGCGTGACTGGAACTTAGGCAAAATAACGCAGGTGGCGCGAGTTGGAGAAGATGTGAGGGGCGTGATTGGTTCTTCGCCAAAATTCACGCAGGCAGTCTGACGCGAGTTGGAGCTCGTATGAGGGGCGTGACTGGTCCTTGGCCAAAATCACTCTGGTAGTGTGACAATTTGTACGCAGTGAAGTCCGATCCGATCTTAGGGTCAGATGTCAAACATGTGTAGTTATCATGTTCGTATAGACTGTATAGGGTCACCTTCTAGAGAGTACAACATTTAGGTATATGTTTGTGTACTCTCTCTCTCACATTATTAAAATTCTAGGTTTGATATGGTATCACGAGTAGGTTTCGACCCCCCCCCCCCCCCCCCCACCTACCGCTTCCGCTCCTCCCGTCGCGTCTCCTAGCCTCGCCTCGCCCCTCCTGAGCCCAGTCGCGACCCCTCCCCCTAGCCCCGTCGCGCCCCTTCCAGGGCCTCGTAGCGCGCCTCCAGGCCCCGTCGCGCCCCCCTTCCAGGGCTTCGTAACGCCCCTCCAGGCCGCCGTCGCGCCCCTCCAGGGCTCTGTAGCGCCCCTCCAGGGCCCCGTCGCGCCCCCTAGCGCCCCTCCTGGGCCCCGTAGCGCCCCTCCAGGGCCCCGTCGCGCCCCCTTAGCGCCCCTCCAGGGCCCCGTCGCGCCCCTTAGCGCCCCTCCTGGGCCCCGTCGCGCTCCTCACAGGCCCCGTCGCGCCCCGTAGCGCCCCTCCTGGGCCTCGTCGCGCCCCTCCTGGGCTTCGTAGCGCCCCTCCTGGGCTTCGTAACGCCCCTTCCAGGCCCCGTCGCGCCCCTCCTGGGCTCCGTAGCGCCCCTACTGGGACCCGTCGCGCCCTCCCTGGGCCCTGTAGCGCCCCTCCTGGGCCCCGTCGTGCCCCTCCCAGGCCCCGTCGCGCCCCTCCTAGGCCCGTAGTGCCCCTCCTGGGCCCGTAGCGCCCCTCCTGGGCCCCCCATTGCGCCCCTCCTGGGCCCCGCCGCGCCCCTCCTGGGCCCCATTGCGCCCCTCCTGGGCCCGTAGCGCCCCTCCTGGGCCTGTTGCGCCCCTCCTGGGCCCTGCCGCGCTCCTCCCTGGGCCCCGTATCCACCCTCCTGGGCCCCGTCGCCCCTGCTCGCCCCGTCGCCCCTGCTCGGCCCCGTCGCCCCAGCTCGGCCCTGTCGCGGCCTCTCGGCCCCGTGGCGCCCGCCCTGCCCCTGTCGCAGCTGCCCGGCCCCTGTCGCACCTGCCCGGCCCCGTCGCGCCCGCCCGGCCCCGTCGCCCCCGCCCGGCCCTGCTGTGTCCTGCCCGGCCCCGTCGCTGCCGCCCGGCCCTGTCGCTGCCCGCCCGGCCTCGTAGCTGCCGCCCGGCCCTGTCGCTGCCGCCCGCCTCGTAGCTGCCGCCCGGCCTTGTCGCTGCCGCCCGGCCCCGTCGCAGCCGCCCGGCCCCGTCGCAGCCGCCCGGCCCCGTCGCAGCCGCCCGGCCCCGTCGCAGCCGCCCGGCCTCGTAGCTGCCGCCCGGCCTTGTCGCTGCCGCCCGGCCCCGTCGCAGCCGCCCGGCCCCGTCGCAGCCGCCCGGCCCCGTCGCGCCTGCCCGGCCCGTCGCGCCTGCCCGGCCTCGACGTGCCTGCCCGGCCCCGTCGCGCCTGCCCGGCCCCGTCGCGCCTGCCCCGGCCCTCCATACTTCCTGGTACTGTCCCCCGTTCCCCGCACCACTTTGCACCCTCTTGCACTTTCCTGCCCCGCCTTGCACCGCATTGCACCTCACTGAACCGCACTGACCGCACTGCACCACACTGAACCGCACTGCACCGCACTGCATCGCACTGCACCGCACTGGACCGCACTGCACCGCCCTGCACCGCGCTGCACAGCACTACACCGCACTCCACTGTCCTCCACTGCCCCTCATGGCTGCTGAGCTTCGTTTTGATGCTGAGGGTCAGCCTCTGGAGTTCGAGGCGTGGTTGGCTGACCTTCGCCGCCACCTCACTGGTCAGCGGCAGGACGGCCACCCGCTTGTCTGCACACCTAGACGGTATGCTCCCCTGCCCTGACCCCCCTGCTGTGCTGCCTGCTGATCCCACGCCCGCTGAGCGCGAGTCCACTGCCGCCGCTGCCCTTGCCCGCTCTGTCTGGCTTTCCCGCGATGCCCTTGCTCAGCTCGCCATTAGCAATGCCCTCCCCCCCCTTGAGCGCCCTCGCTTTAGAACCATTACTACCGCCCAGGCCTACCTCGATGCTGTCATCAAGCGCTATTCTACCCCTCCTGCTGCCTCAGTGGGTCGCCTGATCCTCCCCCTGCTCTTTCCTGACCTGGCGTCCTTCCCCACTGTCTCTGACCTCGCTGCCCACCTGCGCTCGATAGATGAGGCCTGGCGCGCTGCCTGCACTGATGCACAGCTTAGAGTCCACCAGCCTCCCATGACCTCTACCCTCTACCTCCTTGCCACCCGCCTCCCTGACCGCCTTGCCGCCGCCCGCGACCAGTTCCTTAGCATCCACCCTGCTGCTCTCACCCTCACCGACTTTGTTGACACCCTGACTGCCATAGAGACTCGTCACCGCTCCATAGCCCAGGCGAGCGGTACAGTACCGGTCCCTATCTTTCAGGGTTGTGCCCCCGCTCAGTGTACCTTCTCCGACGGCTCTGTCGCTGTGGCTGAGACTGCTGCTGCAGTGCAGTCCCGCTCGGGGAAGGGCCGCCGCCCCAAGGTTGGGAGCGGCGGAGGTGGCGGGGGTGCGGGTGGGGGTAGTGGTGGAGGCGGGTCGTCCGGTGCCGGTGCGGACGTGGGGACCCTGCCGGTCCAGCTGCCCCGCTGCCTCCACCGTTGCAGCAGCCGCAGCAGCAGCAGCCTCCGCAGCAGCCGCAGCAGCCGCCGCAGACGAGGCCGGCGAGTGCTCTCCCGCCTGGGTGGCCTGGAGCTGGTGGTGGTCGTGCGCGTGGTGGTGCACCGGGTGGTGGTTCTGGAGGCGGGCCCTGTCAGTACCAGATCCAGACCGGTCCTCGCCGCGGCTTCGTTTGCGGTAAGATCGGTCATTCCACTCCTCGCTGTTTTCGTCGTCTGGACGACCTGTTCCGCCAGCGCTTTGGCCCGGCGCCCGACCTCCCGGACTGGCACAGCTTGCTTAGGCGTAGCATTCGGATTTTTGACTTGGACATGGATGCCATTGTAGCAGCCTTGCATGTGATGTATGCCGATGACTCTAGTGTGCTTCCCTCTTATTACCCCGTGTTGCCTAGTGTAGCTGTGCCTAGCGTAGACTCCCCTGCTGCGTCAGGCGTAGGATCTCCTGCTTTGCTTAGCCTCGGTGCTTCCACCGCTTCACTGTCGCCCCGCGCGACTGCTGCGCTTTCCTTCACCTTGGACTCTGGCGCCTCCCGGTGTTTCTTCCTGCGACTCCACGACGCTGACGCCGCTGCCTGTTCCTGCTGCAGTTACTCTTGCTGACTCCTCCGGTGGTCCCGTCTTTGCCCGCAGTTCCACCTCCCTTCCCTGTCCGGCGGTTCCTTCAGGTTCGCTCACCGGTCTGCATATCCCCTCGTTCTCCAGGAACCTAGTTGGTGTCGGCTGCCTCCAGGACCTTGGCGTCACCACTACGTTCCCTGGTCACGAGCGGTATGCTGTCTGTACCGAGGCCGCCACTGGTGCCCCCCTTACCACTTTCCCCCGGGACCCGGTGTCCGGCCTGTTCACACTTGACACCGCGACGTCCCCGGCTGGGTCTTCCCCCCAGGTAGCTGCGTCCACCCAGGTTGCTGCTGCGTGCTCCTGTCGGTCCCTCACTCATCCGACTCTCCTTTGGCACCACCGCCTTGGTCACCCTGCACTCCCGCGTCTGCGTCACATGTCCCAGCACGGTCTCGTCCTTGGTCTCCCCGGTTCGTTCCCTGAGTTTCCCTCATCCCCCGCCCCACCGTGCACGCCTTGTGTCGAGGGCCGGCTCCGCCGTGCCCCTCACTCCTCCTCTTTTCCCCCTACCACCGCACCCCTGCAGACTCTGCACATGGACGTCTGGGGCCCAGCCCCGGTCCATGGGCCGCGTCGCGAGCGCTTCTTCCTAGTGCTTGTCGACGACTTCACACGTTACACCACCGTCTTTCCCCTGGAGCGGAAGGCCGACGTGCCTGACGTTCTCATCCCCTGGCTTGTCTCTGCTCGTCTCCACCGCGGTCTCCCTGCCTTGCGCCTCCACTCCGACCGGGGTGGCGAGTTCGCCTCAGGTGTCCTTGGTCGCTTCTGTCGTGCGGAGGGCATCACCCAGACGTTTACCCTGCCGGACTCCCGCGCAGCAGAATGGGGTCGCTGAGCGACGCATCGGTTTGGTCATGGAGGTGGCTCGCACCTCCATGATCCACGCCGGTGCACCCCATTTTCTGTGGCCGTTCGCCGTGCGCTACGCCGCTCACCAGCTTAACCTGTGGCCGCACCCCCAGCGGCCGCAGGTTTCGCCGACCCTTCTAGTGGACCGGGTCCCCTGGTGACGCGTCTGCGTTCCACGTCTGGGGCTGCCTTGCTCACGTTCGTGCCTCTGGCACGGACAAGCTCACTGCCCGCACCCTCCCCTGCGTCTTCCTCGGTTTCCCCCTTGACGCGTCCGACTGGCACTTCTACCACCCGCCGTCTCACCGTTTCTTTCACTCTCGCGACGTCACCTTTGACGAGTCCGTCTCCTTCTTCCGCCGCTTTCCCCACCGTGGTCCCCCGGTTACTCCCCCCTGTTCCTGGTTCCTCCCTCCCTGGTGGCCCCTGCCCCTCCCCCCCCCCGCCCCCCCGTCCGGCCCCCTCTGGTGTGTCTCACGTCACCCCCCTCCCGTCGGTCGTTCCGGTCGACGAGTCTTCTGACTCTGGTAGTCCTTTGGCGCAGTCCTCGCCGTCTGTCCCTCCCCCGGTGTCTCCTCCTCCACCGCCTCCGCAGCCGCCGTCGCCGCAGCTGCTGCAGCCATCGTCTCCGCCGCCGCCGCCGTCGAGGCCGTCGCTACAGCCGCCGCCGCCGTCGTCGCTGCCGCTGTTTGTGGACTCTGGGGGTGCTGGAGTTGAGGTGGGTACTCGTCCCGGGGCTCTTGTCGTGGCTTGTCCCCGCGGGCCTGGGGGTGGTACCGGTGCTGGCGGTGTTTCGGGCTCTGGGGGTGTCCCTTCTGGGGGTGCCGGTGTGGAGGGTTCGGGAGGTAGCCGTCGCGCAGCTTGTGGCCCTGGCGTTGGTGTTGTGTCGCCGCAGCAGCAGTCCCCGCCGGTGTCCGCCCTCCGTCTGCTGGGCCTTCCGTCCCCTGACCCACGCCTGTTCCTCTCCGGCCGTCTCCCCCTCTTCCCGTCTACGGCCCCGTGTTCCCTCCGCCGGACTCGTCCCCGGCTCGTTTTCCCCCTCGTTCCCCACCCGTGTCCCTCCTCTGTCTCCCGACCCGACGCCGCCCTCTCACGTCTGGTCTCGCCGCCCCTCCCGTGCTCGTCCTGTCTCCCCCGTCCCGCGCACTCACCCTATGTTGCTCCGCTCCCACGCGTCTCGTCCTCCCCTCCTCCCGTCTCCTCCTCCGTCCTCTCTTGTCGTTGCGTCTCCTCCTCTGTCTGACTACTTTCGTGCCGCTCGTCCTCTTGTTCCTCGGGTCCTTGCCTCTCTCGTTACCGACCCGTCTGTTCCAGTGTCGAGTCTTGACGCCCTTGTCGCTGCGGTCGCTGACTTCGCCTCTACCCGCCGCCTTGACTACGCCTCCGCTCTGGTCTCTGACCCTGCCTGTCCTCCGTCTGTCGGGGGTGCTCCTGCCCTCGGCAGTGACGTCCTGGAGGACCGCCAGTTTGAGCTTGCTTTCCTGTCCGAGGCTGCTCCCCATCTCTGTTCCATGCTGCTAGTCCCTGAGGGTGACCCAGACGCTTTTGACATCCCGACCCCTCGTACTTACGCTGAGGCGGTTTCGGGACCTTGGGCCTCTCAGTGGATAGCTGCCATGGAGCAGGAGATGGCATCTTGGAGATCCACCGGCACCTTCGTCGACGCAGTTCCCCCACCTGGGGTGAACGTGGTCGATGGCCGTTGGCTCTTCAAGGTGAAGCGCCCTCCTGGAGAGCCGCCTGTGTTCAAGGCGCGTTACGTGGCTAGAGGCTTCAGTCAGCGCGAGGGGGTGGACTTCTTTCAGACTTTCGCTCCTACCCCGAAGATGACTACTCTTCGGGTTCTGCTACACGTAGCGGCTCAGCGTGACTACGAGCTTCACTCCCTCGACTTCTCCACTGCCTTTCTTCAGGGCAGCCTTCACGAGCAGGTCTACATGCGTCGTCCTCAGGGCTTTACTGGCACCTTCCCCCCTGGGACCCAGTGGCTTCTGCGGCGCCCAGTCTACGGCCTGCGCCAGGCACCTCGTGAGTGGCACGACACGCTGCGTGCTACTCTTGCTGACCTGCAGTTCTTTCCGTCCTCTGCAGACCCCTCGCTCTTCGTTCGTGCTGGCTCGACTCCGTTCTACATCCTCGTCTACGTAGACGACCTGGTCTTTGCCACAGCTGACAGGGACGCACTGGCCTCCGTGAAGGCAGAGCTGCTGAAGAGACACACCTGCACTGACCTTGGAGAGCTGCGCCGTTACCTTGGCTTGCAGATCTCCAGGGACAGAGCCGCCCGCACCATCACCCTGACTCAGTCACACTTGGTGCGCCAGGTCCTTCAGAGGTTCGGCCTTCAGTTCTCCTCCGCACAGCCCACCCCTCTTCCTCTGGACCACAGACTCTCCGCTCCAGTTCCTGAGGAGTCGATAGATCCCAGTGGTCCTTACGCTGAGCTAGTGGGTTGCCTCATGTACCTGATGACTTGCACTCGCCCAGATCTCGCATACCCTCTCAGCATCCTGGCTCGTTTTGTGGCCACAGGCAGACACCGACCTCAGCACTGGTCTGCCGCTAAGAGGGTTTTGCGTTATCTTGCAAGTACATCGGGCATGGGGTTAGTGCTAGGCGGACGCAGGCCAGTGGTCCTTACTGGACACACAGACGCTTCTTGGGCAGACGACGCCGAGATGCTCAGGTCTTCCCAGGGCTACTGCTTTAGCCTTGGCTCAGGTGCTGTCTCGTGGAGAGCTACCCGCTCCTCGTCGGTTGCCCAGTCCAGCTGTGAGGCTGAGATCTACGCCGGTGCCATGGCGGCACAGGAGCTCCGCTGGCTGACCTTCTTGCTCACTGACTTAGGTGAGCGGCCTAGCTCTGCCCCGGTCCTGTACGCTGACAATAGGGCCATGATTCTCCTGTGTCAGGAGCCTCGACTCGAGGGCAGAGCGAAGCACATCCAGCTGCGGTACTTCCTCCTGCGCGAGCTACAGCAGCGGCGCCAGGCTCGCGTAGTACACTTGGCCTCCGGTGCCAACACAGCTGATATCTTTACGAAGGCGCTTGCGCCTAAAGATCATCAGCGGCACTGTTTACAGCTTGGTCTGGTTCCTGTAGTCTCTCACTTACTCGGGCCTTGACTTTGTACTGTCGTATATATATATATGTATACACTCAGACTGGACTTGTGTCCTCTCACAGTGGTTGGACTAGTAGTGCCGCCCTGTACTCGTTCTTGCCTTGTCTGTACTCCTTCTGACTGGTCTTTTAGACCCTTGTCTCAGAGGCTGGACTAGTAGTGCCACCCTGAGCTACTTGTCTAGAACATTCCCCTATGCAGTCCAGGGGGTGTGTCAAACATGTGTAGTTATCATGTTCGTATAGACTGTATAGGGTCACCTTCTAGAGAGTACAACATTTAGGTATATGTTTGTGTACTCTCTCTCTCTCACATTATTAAAATTCTAGGTTTGATATCAGAAACCTAAAAAATGTACCTGATGAGTCAGCCTTTTTTTTTTTTTTTTTTTTTTTTTTTTTTTTTTTTTTTTTTTTTTCGGCCTGACAAAACATTATCAAAGTTAGCAAATGACTAGAAAGGTGGGATACATGTCAACTTATACATATATTGTTATGTAGAAGTTATAGGCTAGATAGGGTATGTTCTTAGTGGGTACAACCCAAACGCTATATGGTATCACGAGTAGGTAGGTCCACCCACCCGCTTCCGCCCCGTGCAGCAACCTACAGGACCCTCGCCATCCTAAGGCCCCGTCGCGCACTTACGGCCCTGTCGCGCCCCTACGGCCCCGTCGCGCCCCTAGCAGCCCCCGTCGCGCCCTTATGGCCCCTTCGCGCCCCTACGGCCCCGCCGCGCCCCTAGCAGGCCTTGTCGCGCTCCTACGGCCCCGTCACGCCCCTTGCACGCCCCGTCGCGCCCCTACGGCTCCGTCGCGCCCCTACGGCCCCGTCCAGCCCCTAGCCGGCCTCGTCGCGCCCCTACGGCCCTGTCGCGCCCCGACGGCCCCTCACGCCCCTAGCCGGCCCCGTCACGCCCCTAGCTAGCCCCGTCACGCCCCTAGGCCCCGTCGAGCCCCTACGGCCCTATCGCGCCCCTACGGCCCCGTCGCGCCCCTAGCCGGCCCCGTCGCGCCCCTACCGGCCCTGTCGCGCTCCTACAGCCCTATCGCACCCCTAGCCGGCCCCGTCGCGCCCCTAGCCACCCCCCTCGCGCCCCTAGCCGGCCCCTCGCGCCCCTACAGCTCCTCGTGCTCCTACCGCCCCCCCCCGCGTCCCTAGCCGGCCCCACGGGGCCTTGTCGGTCCCGCTCGCCCTAGCCGGCCCCTTGAGCCGCCGTGTCGCAGTGTCCCCGAGCCGCCGTGTCGCAGTGTCCCCGAGCCGCCGTGCCGCCGAGCCGCCGTACCGCTGAGCCGCCATGCCGCCGTGTACCTGAGCTGCTGAGCTGCCGAGTCGATGCGCCGCTGAGCCGCTGTGCCACTGTCACACTGTGTGATGGCGGACGCCGTTCTTCGCTTGGACGCTGAGGGGCACGCGATCGACTTCGCCGTTTGGCTCGTCGACCTCCGCCGGCACCTGACAGGTCAGCGCCAGGATGGGCACTCCCTGGCTATGCATGTTGATGGTTTGCTTCCCCGCCCCCCTTCGCCTGATCCCCTCCCTGCTGACCCTACCACTGCTGAGAGCGCGGCTTTTGCTGCTGCTGCGCTTGCTCGAGCTGTCTGGGATTCTCGCGACGCAGTAGCCCAGCTTGCCATTAGCCATGCCCTCCCCTTGTCTGAGCGTCCGTGTCACAGGATCGAATGTGCCGAGGAAAGGTTTGCTCAATGTTGCACTATCAATCAGTACAAGGTGCTTTTATACTTCCAGAGTACATGAGGTAACCAGGTTTATCCTATCCAAAGGGAATAGACCCTTCTAGAAATAGAATCACCCTGCGTATAGCCACGCGAGACTATTGGCTTTAAGGGATTACAGCAGGATTACGCTAGATATAGCGCGCCAGTACATTCCGAGCCTGGTCGGTGATATAATTATAATAACAGGATAAACCAAAGGATAATGGAAAACGAGGAATAGGAAACCAAATGAGATGAGATAAAGACCAAATGAACCAAGAAGTGAAAGAGGAATGAAATAGAAAGGAAATATGGAAAGGGGAAATTAGTGTAACGGGGTCGTACTCTCACACTCCCCCCCCTCAAAGGTGGGTGGTAGACGCAACACCCTGCTTGACAAGGTAGTCGCGAAGAGGACGACGGGTGTTACCCATGTCGAATATAGAGACACAGCCTTAAAAGTATCAGAATCCTTCCAGCAAAGAAGAAGCTCCAAAGTGCCATTATGACGACGACGGTGTCCAAGCACGTAGTTGTCCCATGTCGTGGATGAACACGGGCGACGACAGTGGTTGGCATTCGGTGTAGAGCATGTTTGGTCTTGATAGGGTTTAAGAAGCTGATATGGAAGGCGGTATGGATCTTCCAAGTGGCTGGTAGGCGGAAGCGGAAGGTGAATGAAGTGACCTTTGCTTCAAAGAGGATAGTCCCGCAGAAGCAAGGTTGAAGCTTGGATGGAAGATTGCTGATGTCGAGATTATGGTGTGGATAACTGTGGTGATGAGTGGTCAAGTGCTTCTGCTGCCGTTGGATGTCCAAGAGGTGCTTGTGTGGTCGATGTACAAGATGGTGGATGATGGCGATGAAATTGGAAGCCAGTTGGACTGTAGCAAGAACTGTCTGTTGCTACGGAGTGAGCAGGCTCCGTCCATATCAAGGAAGGATGGTGTGTATCGCCATCAGTGATATATGGGCAGGTGCAAGTTGTAGTTGGAGACTTGAGTGGTTGGAACAGTGTGCTGTAACGTGCAGATGAATGGCTACGTTGTCTGTTCTGTGCATGCCAAAAGATCACTTGCATCTCGTCCATGCCTGAAGGTCACCAAGTGGTGGTGGTATGGCAGTCGTGTCGTAGTACTGCTTCTGTAGCAGTGTTGTATCCGTTACATGCAGCTTCTGTCGAATGCTGGTCCATGCCGTATTGTTGTCGCGAGTCGTACCCACTCGGCATCATAGTGCTGCGGAATGGAGAGCAAAATCACTAGTAGTAACCCTGTCCACCACGCGGTCTGCTAGTCACTGCCTTGAGTACAACAGCGCATGTGAAGTGCTGCTCAGCGTATCCCTTGTGTTCAGAACCATGCGAAGGGTTGGTTCCATAAACGCGGAGCTGGTAACTTCCAGAATCGGCGCCAAAGTAGTTTCCCTCGGTGGTTATTCAAGCAAGGAATCTCTGCTGCGTAGATATCCCACGGTGATGGATTAGGACAATTGGGAATATTAGGGGTATTCCCAAATAATCCTCTCCCATTTCTAAATGGGCATTCGTAACAGCCAATCCAGTATGACCTTATGCACTTCCGGTTTAGCATGGAGGCCATCGGTAGGCATCGGTGTCTGGGTGCACATATTGGGATAGGTCTTCTGGTGCCATCATGTGTTGTCTCATTCTGTCTTTGTCCTTGAAGTAGCGTTGATGTCAAAGATGTCTCAGCTACTCAGCATCGGTGTTGAAGTCTGCTCCATTTCGGCAAACAGGGGTGTTGTTGGAGATACGCGGAGTCCACTGTCCGGAGTGTCGTCGGCTCTCCATTTCACGCCTATCTGCTTCCGTGGAGTTGGTGCTGGTGATGGATTGGTTGTGACGCAGGTTTTATGACTTTAAGGAAAGCCATAGGCCATGAGGACTTGTATACGAGTAGAGTAGCGTGGTCCTCCCATCCTCATAAGAGCAAATATCTTCTGCTCTTGAGGGTATATGGCATTGCCATGTTGTTCCCTCGCATAGTGGTATCTCCTTCTTACTAACTGGAAATCAGAGAACTGTGCCTCGCCGGGACTTAACGATCTACTGGAATATAATCCACCATTATCTTTATTGGGCGGAGAATCATCCATCAGGGTTTGGATATGACTGTTGTGTCGAGTCTTCTGCTGCGGCGGCGGCGGCGGTTGCGATGATGGTAACGGCGGCAGCTGCTGCAGAGAATTCTCTTAACTCGTAATGGTTTGAAGGAGAATCCATCAACTCCCTCATCCCAGTAGAGTTGTCCTGATGGGTGTAACAGGCGTAACTACCAGGAACACGTGCACATTAGTACACATGTATTGCTTCATTACTGCCGGTGATTGTTTCATTTGAGGGTATGAAGAGGAATTTGCTTCTCCCCTCAATCTATCCACGGGTAGCAATTCCTGGTATGATCATTCGTGCCTCCGATATACGGTCGGTAGAGCGCGTAATTGTATTGTAGTAGTCCGCATCTCCATCACGTGCTGACAGCTTGTGTTGCTTGGCGTTCTCCTGCATCGTCGAAGATACGTTGATGCTTGTAACGCTTCGGCTTCTGGTAGAATCGCCTCCTATGCATGTGCCGTAGGGTCGCTAGTGAACGAGTACTTGCCAGATTAGATGTTAATTATTCCCCAATCTGTCAAGCATCGTGACATGCACGGAAAAAATTCGACACAGGTCATTAACACCTGGAATCGCGACGCATGATTGGTGTGTCGCCTCGTGAGGTTGATGTTGAGACTGCTCCAATCAATCACTTCGGATGGCTGAGATTCTTGATGAAGATGAATCGATCAGCTCCTGTTACGAAGTAGTGTCTCGCTGGCCTTGACGAGACGGGTTCACTGCGTCGTCGTTGCGTGCGAAATCTGCTCCTTCGCAGCAACTTGATGTTGGGAATATTGCAAGAGAAAACGGCTACTTCTCTACAATCCCATAAGTTGTCGATCAAATTTATGAGATGAAGTATCTCATGGATGGAGAACATGTCTTCACGCAGCTCAATTGTTTTTCCTGGGTGAAGATCCGCTGTGGTGATGTCGATCCATTTTAATGAAGATGACTTCGTCAAAATACATCGATCGTTGTCGACACTAGTCAGAAGATGCGTCGATTGTGCAGTCCCTGGTCACGAATATTGTCTCCATGATGATGATTTCCCATAGTGTTGTTTCCGCTGCATTCGTGCCGTTGATTCCGCATCGATCCGAAGATCCACGTTCTCCTGTCAGTTTTCTGCTTGCAGCTATTACCGTACCAATTAGGTAATACTCTGGCAGATTTTTGACATTGCAGATGATTTCTCGCGCCAAATTCGTGACCAAATGGAGGAATCCGAATTTGGTTGTCCAAATGTTGTCAGCGGTGTTGAAGGCGGCAAAGTTTTGGTTCTTCGCGTCATTCTCCCTTTGTGCAGAAGTCGCGCTCCATCTCGTCCGTTGAAACAAAAGTCGATCCGACGGTCCAAACTCCAAGCCATCTGAGGAGACTCCTGAGTCGCGTTCAACAGCTTTCAGTGCATGGGTTGACTCGTTTCCTGCAGCAATTCTCGATCGTTTATGTCGGCTGTCGAACGATCGGACGCTCCGAAGAACTTCACGGCTTGCGAGGTCCCGTTCCCATTTGCGCTGAAATTCGAACTCGCTCAGAAGTTTTCGTTCTCGCCTTAGTCGATCGGAAGCGTCGAATCCCC